AATATTGAACAATTAAGCACTAATGGGATGATATCCTGTATAAATTATATTATTATTAATGAAAATTTCTTAGAATGTGGTACTTACCGGTTTGGGTCCTTGGGAAAACGAAAGAATGTTTTCTTGCAGGTATAACCCTTATTAAAACAGCTTCTGACAGCACAGACAGAATGATGTCTTTTTTTTTCACTCATTCTACTCACAGTTAACGAGTCACCAAAAATAATAACAGTACCTTTAACTTAACACAACAGGCAGCTCAAACAAAATCAACGAAATGATACGCACGGCTCAATCCTTACCTAAGTACGACTCTGAACGCGAAAGCCGTCTTTTCCGTCCGAAGGAGGAGCTTAAGCAATGCGCGAGGGAATCGACGCAAACCGTTGCCGCCCAAGAGAGTGTTTTAGCTGTATTGTATAAGCTGTGCCCATGTAATTATAAGAAACACATTTCGGTAGGTAGAGGCACAATCATTGCGTTCGGTTTGCCACGTTCCTTTAACTCCTTTAACACTTTTAACTCCAAACGACTCTTTTAGCGTTCGGTTTAGTCCGATTAGTGACAGTTTAACACGCTTAAATGTCATTTAAAAGCACCCTAAAATTTGTCCCGCTCCAGCCCCTGACTGACCGAACCACAAAGCACATAGAGGTTCCACGTGAATGACCAAGGTCAAAACCGACAACTGACATTTTTTATGCTATTTGCTCCAAACTCTAGATGGGGCTACTGGTGAAATTATGATTTCTTACTCCATTTTTAAGCCTTATGGGAGAAAAACTTAACACTTCGCCGTGCACTTAACCAAAGACTCCAAAGATGTGACGTGTATTTATTTATGTTCTTGGTTAGTTTCATTTTTCCGTCTGATTTTAGTGATTTTTTGTTGGCTTTGGCTTTTGGTTTCTGTTTATAGTTTCGTCTTAGTTATTTGCAAAATTGTGATGTTTCGCTTTTTTATTTCCTACTGTTTTGCAATAATTTTGGTGCTACGTTGAAAACTTCGAGAAAAACTTCATTGATTCACCATATATTCACCATGCATCTGCATCATAAAAAGACAAACGGGGACAACAACTAATTGATAATCAATTTATCACTGGACTAGATTCTGAAATCATTTTTCACATAAGAGAGTAATACCACCATCTGTATTTGGAAGGAAAATACCTATTTATCATTGAATGAATAGTTAAAAAGATTCACCTTTTAATACAATACCTATATTACATTTGTCCTCAGTTAAAAAGACATTTATAAAATATATAACTTTAGTGTTAATAAAATGTAATATCCTAGTCTCTACTTCACATTTAAATTATTGATAGGTACCTATTTTAAAGATTTGAGATTATATAATATCTATTTGCTCCAAGTAAGTATTCGTTAAATATGTATTATTATTTGTATTTATTTTTATCTAATAATATTTATTTAAGTTATTAATAAACATATTTTAAGAATGTTCTATTTTATTATTTATTGATATATCTTATATTTATTTAATAAAAATATGCAGAACCAACTCTCCACATTAGACCCCTTATAACAAATTAATTCTTCAAATTTGGTATAATCGACCTTTATTTTGTAAAATAAAAGTTTCGAACTTACTAGTTCCATACTTTATTTTATAAAATAATTTATGTGAAAATCATTTAAAATTTAATTTAAAACTACTACCTACTCCTAAAAATTACAATTTGAATTTACCGCCATCTGTCAATTGTCATTTTAGTTCCAGCTCCAAACACAAGGTGTCGCTAATTTGGTTTAAAAGTTTAACATTGGCGTGGGGTCTCTAGAAGATACATGCTTTGTGGACCGAACTCGCCTAATATATCCCCTATAGTAATGTAACTGGGATTCAAGAAATGGCTTTGAGTTACGCTGCGGCCAGACACAGGTCTCATGGCGCTAGTATCGTTATTGATTTTTGACATCGGCACGTTCATTGGTTGACGACGAATTCAAAACAATCTGATCGGAGCGTTACTCACTCCCACTCCTTCTCTTTGTTTAGATACTTATAAAAGAAAGAGATACCAGTTAATAATTCCTATTTTGAATCATCTTTCATTCTTTAGTGTTGAGTTTTTATAAGTGAAGTGTCAGTGTTGACAAGTGATAATTTTTTGATTTTTTCTTCTACGAAATTTAATATTAATTTTGTTTCAGCGATATTTATTGTGATTTGTGTTGTATTAAGTGCTTTCTTATTTAATATGGGAAACAAAACGTACAACAAACTCAGAAAAAGAGGAATCAAGGAGGGATTGCTATCTATGGCTGTCATCCAAGGGTCTGCGCCCCAGATAATACTTTTCCAGTGGGAAAAGCCTTTAAAATTCAAGTATAACAATTTTATGTTTCCGTTTTCCCTTCTTTTAATGTAGGTGCCAATTTTGAGGTAAGTTTGTAATAATTTTTCATATTTTTTCAGTTAATACCCTCTTAATATTATAATTTAACTATGATCTTATGCTTTCCTATGGACACGATTCAAGGAGGGAGTCCTATGGCTGTCATCCAAGCCCTAGATAATAGTTTTCCAGTGGCAACAGCCTTTAAAATTTAAGTATAATAATTTACTTTTTTCAAAGTAGATGTCCATTTAAACTAATTTTTTTTATTTCACTTATTGATTTTAGCATTTATATACTGTATCGGCTAATTAACACTTTCCAATACGCTTGGCTAGAATCGAAAAGAAAACTAAAGAGTTAGCGCATTAGTTCGATCAGGAAACGAATAATATGAATGTTGCCTTGTGTGCTGTGTAATATGAACAGGCACACGGTGTGATGCATCCCCACGTAGCCGGCTGGCTACGTTCATAGTATTCTATTCCTTCTCCCACTAATGCTAACTCTTTGTAGTTTTTACTTGGACATTAGCAAAACGTATTGTACAACATTCGATAGCTGTCACTGTATTATCACAAACATCTCTTAATAACTAAATGATTTCATTTAATAATTTCTTTTTTTTTTCAGTAAAATGGATATGGCTAGAGTTATCTTCGTCTTTAAAATATATTAAATAAGTTTTATAATTTTTCAAATAAAATACTTTATACAATTTTTTGTTTTTTTTTTTACCAGAGCCAATTTTTTTTCAGATCTAACCTCTATAGGTAAAAAATAAGTGATTTAGGTAAAATTGAAAAGTATATTACATGTTCTTTTAAATGTGTTGTTAATCCAAATGCTGCTCTTATTGTAATAGCTAATAATAAAAGAATTAGTATTATTTTTAGCTATCAAAATAAAAATAGCGCCTGGATTTACAGCTCGTTTAATCGAACATGCAATATACTTCTCAATAATTATTGCCGAATGAATATATTTAAAAATTCCCGCCATTCCGCGTCTGAAAATTTACAATTTTGGCGGGAAATTTAAATTTCGCCTTTAAATTATATTTGAATTTACCGCCATATCGAGTTAGTTGAGCGGCCAGACACAGACGCATTCTTGCGCTGCAAACTTAGTGCCAACTCTTTAACAAGTGAGATGCACTACTCATTGCGTTCGGTTTGCCACGTTCCTTTAACACTTTTAACTCCAAACGACTCTTTTAGCGTTCGGTTTAGTCCGATTAGTGACAGTTTAACACGCTTAAATGTCATTTAAAAGCACCCTAAAATTTGTCCCGCTCCAGCCCCTGACTGACCGAACTCGCCTTATGGTGTCAAAGTTCATATAAAAATATGTCCGAAAACGTTTCTTTTCTGTAACAATTCCTTTATATTTAACGGCCTTTAAAAATATTTTCTTCTTTACTTGTCATTATTTAAACGGATCTTTAAAATACATTAGAGGACTATCTTAAAGAAATCTGTTTAAATAATGACAAGTAAATTAACGAATACGAACATATTTTTATAGGCCGTCAATATTTTTAAAGGCCGTTAAATATAAAGGAATTGTTACAGAATAGACCCCACAGGGTGTTAAAAGTGAAGTCCTGATGACACACTTTTGTAAATATTTTCTAAACGTTTAAAGATAACTAAGGGAAATTTGGTACAAATGCTTTCCTTTTTACGCTTTATTTAATGGACTAAACCCCAGTTTTTGATCATCTTTATGGGTGGGTAAATTAGGGGGGCTTAGGATAAAATTGGCCAAAGTTTTTTTTGTCGACAGTTTTTAACATTTTTGACCATAAAATTTGGAAAACCAATGTTTTCTTTATAATAAAGCTACTTTTGTTGCATGTCGCTAGGACACACCATTTTCAAGAGAAAAGCATTTGAAAATTTCATGATAAGTTGATGTATCTTATTCGAAAGTGTAAACAATAATTAGTAGGCCTGTGGAATCAGAAATTTAATTTTTTTTAACTTTGGAAAACCGGTGACTAAAGAAATTTTAGAGAATATTTACAAAAATGTGCCATTAGCATTTCACTTGTATCACCCTGTGTCTCGAAAACGAAACGTTTTCGGACCTATGTTTATATGAACTTTTACTCCTATTTTAGGATGTAGATTACGCTGTTAAAATATGACCGTCTAATTTCGGGACACCCTGTATATTTTATAGAATTCCAAATTCTTGCTGTAAACCTAATGTTTTAGAAGCAATAAAATATTTTTTGTATTATATTTTTTGACATGACAATAATGTCACTATTGTCATTAAAAATAACAATCCTATTACTTGAAAATCTTCAGAACATTTTTTTATGGAGATTTTTAATCAATGTAAAAATTGGTAAATAGATGATTAAAAGTATAATAGTTATTTCAATATGCTTCTTCCCTGGTTCCAATTAATTAAATATAACCCGGCAACTATATATAACAATTCCAACAGTCAGAACTAGCGGGGACAGGAATGGTGTGGACAGGCACATTTCCAGACCCTTCAACTACAAGATTATCTCCATATGGCCTTCCAGTTGAAAAAAAAATAAGACTTATAATTTGTTAAATAAAAACACTAATAAATTGTTAATATTTTATTTATAAAAAAAACTAATATACTAAATACTATTACCTTAATCTAACTCAATGACACAACTTTTGCTGTACCATTGCTTTTTGTTTTCATAGTAATTAATTACAATTTCTGGACACCTTGCATTTACTTGATTTGCAGGAACCAAATCAGCCTGTTTACAATTTTTCCACATCATAAGGAACATTAATTCACCACTAGCATCTGTTGCCCCTACAATTTTGTCAGGATCTAACCCTCTATCAAATCCTCGAGCTCGATTATCTTCAGTTATGTTCTTTCTTTTCGATTTTTCAGCTTCATCTGCATTGGAAGAAAGCTCAAACTGGGCTTCATAAGCTGCTATTAGATCAGGACAATCTAAATTTTCTTCAGGTTCCCAAGTGTTATCTTCCCTAAAAAGTAGACTAGGTAGTCATTTTTTAATAGCTAGCAACACTGGCAATATGGCATTTAATAAAAAATACAGTTATTTAAGTTGGGTAAAACATGATTCTTCCATTTAGACAAATCTGAACTTTTGGTGCTTTATGAAAAATCAATACTGTTGGAGCCACTGAATAAGATGTATGTCTAGTGCCTACTAAATTAAAATTGCATTACTCATTATATCCTTTCCATTTCAGAAGGTATTCGATTTTGCCATTTCTCGTTCTCTTATCTAAAATTTTTTCCACAGAAAATTCTTCTGTTGGTCCTGATTCGGATGTTACAGGTTCAGGATCGTCTTTGCCTCTGGCTATAAGAAAAAAAAAATGATTTGTTTTTATATGTTTACCATTTTAAATTTAGTACTTACTTTTTACCATTATTAGATGCAGACGCCAAAGGGCCAAATTCTTGTTCTCTGCAAATTCCAAATACGGCAAAAGAGGAAAACCTAACCTAAAATCCTTTTTGGTTTGTTTTGTTTGAGGTAAGTCGTCCTTGAACGAAAATCGAAGTTCGGTTTGGTTATATCGCGTGAGTTTAGAGGTGGGTAGCAACCACGTAGCAACAAATCGGTAAATGTACATAACCATAGATTACTAATGTGAATAGATGGGAAACTCAATGGTAAAATTTTGAGTCGATGTGCTGCCATCTATCAAATTGGAGTGGTACTAAAATTCAATATGGCCGCCACGAGCGGGCTTTTTGAAATTTAACTTTGTAGTAGCGCAAAAATGTAATGAAGAAAATCAAATAAAGCAAAAAATTGGAAAAATATTTGACTAGTTTCAAATCATAAAACAACCATATTGGCTGTTTTGTGATTTGAAATTAGTCAAATATTTTGCCAATTTATATCTTTATTTGATTTTACTTCATTATATTTTTGCATTAATTTCAAACTTGAAATAAAATGCAATTTTTTTTATTATTACAGTAAATTAACGCCGCATCATATAATTGGTATATATAAACATGGAAATACTGAAACAAATATGCATTTACACCATTTAAATAATTAAATATTTAAAAAACAAACCCATCAAAAATATTTTCTGTAACAAAATCAGCATATATAAGTGCTCAAGACCTTTATAAAAGTTTTGCGACTTGGAGTGGCAAATAAGTTTGAAAAAATTGAAGTCGAACCATCATCTTTTTTTACTATCGAGGTAAATTTGAGTGTGGATAAAATTTGCCATACGGTTATCGAGTCGCCTAGTTAAGTTTAGGAGCATTTCTTCATCTGATAATTGTTTTCTTGATTCATTTGTATTTATCAAATTTTTATTCATTATGTGGGCACTGTGATAAATGAATTTAACTTTTGAGCATAAATTAAACTTACACACCTTTGGACCTTGAAGATTTTAGGGTGTTTTCTTGTTTGATGTCAATGGCATTGAATCAATTTTTGATACTGATGGCTGAGGCTCAAATATTTCATCGATCGACAGGGTATTTTGGAGGGACAACATTTTCTTTACAATGATCATTTAAAAACTGAAAACAAAAAGAAATTTAAATAACAAACCAATTATTTTAACACTGAATGAAAAACAAGTTTGTAAATATTACTTACCGTGCCAAACAGTGATTGTGTATTTTTCTTAAGACACTTATTACAAATTATTTGGTGTTATCCTTAATATGACGACTGCATATTTAATGTGGTATAAATTGCATCACTACTAATATATGGGAGTGCTTTATTGTTTGTTGCTGAAATCCATCTTCCCGTCAGTTGAAAACATACTTAAAATTGGAAAGTGTTGAAAAATAAATCTAGATGAATCAAAATTCAATACACCTTCAAATACAATAGCAATAGCCATTTTAATTTCTCAAAGTTTGAAGTTTTGACGAGCTGACAACTGACATGACATTTAGATACGAGCGCCATCCCGTTAATTGGAGTGGTACTAAATTACCAACCCCCCTGGGGCTCGATTCTCGAGTTCATTGGAAAATTTTCCCATGGGAAAAGATTCCACTACTTATATTCCCATGGTAATAGGTTATGCAATTCTCGAACTTGTCGGAATAGACATTCCCATGGAAATAATAGTTTCACGTATGTCTGATATTAAGTTCACGAATATTTCGAAATAACCAATAACATTAAAGATATTTTAAAATTTACTGTTGGTATTATTTGTATTTGTTGTGGTTTTTGGGTAACCGATTACCTGCCGAGCCTCTGCGCTGGAGCAGATGCCGTGCCGAGCAATCGCTAGCTTGACCGAGGACAAGTGAAAATATTCGATTATGTATAATTAAAACTTATCGAGTTATTTTTAGTTTTTCTTTTCACATATTGAAAAAAGAAAAAGTAGCTTTTGTATAGAAGAGCAACGAAAGTTTCGAGAAACTATATATATAAGAAATTCTTTCGTTAACGGAAATAATAAAATTTTCGAAAAGGTCTTATTAAATTTACTACAAATTTCTCAATTTGTGTTACCTATTTGCCAGTCCCTTAGCAGCTCCCACAATTTCTAACTAATTTAAGAAAATCAGTTTCTTAGTGAAAGAGGGGTGTAAAAATAATATACCCACAAAAATAAAATAATATCAATTTATAAATACACAAAAAAAATGTTTAAACTACAATTTCACCAAAAATCCAAGATATCCAATAATCTTTGGTTATGTCTTAGTCTTTCGCGTGGTCTTTCGTCAAATTTTCGACTTTAATGCGCAAACTCTAGTACAATTCCCATTGGAAAACACAATTTCCAATGCTCGCAAGCAGGGGAATATTTTCCCATACTTCTCATTGGAAAATATTCCACCGCTTATGCCGAAAATTCGAAAACTGAATTCCCATGGGAAAATTTTATTTTCCCATGGGAATAAAATGTCATAAATTTCCGATGTGTAGAAAAATGTCAAAAATTCCTATAGGAAAAAATTCCTACGAGTCGAGAATCGACCCCCAGGGGGTCAATTCTCGACTTGTAGGAACCTTTTCCTATAGGAATTTGTGACACTTTCCTATATGTAGGAAAATGTCATAAATTTTGGTTGTATATATGCCGCGTTTGAGAATCCACATCGGATGCATTTTTTACATCTCGAGCGTTTTTTTATCCACATCGGACACATCTACTACATCTACATCTGCGTTTGTTTATCCCAGATATACCTGTTCAGATTACATTTTTTACATCTCGATTTGAAATGAGATGTGAATGAGATGTTCGTTCCATGCCAGAAAGTAAGTGTTCTGTGAAGTCTTGTTTATCAATTTATCCTTTGTTATGAATATAAAAGTAGAGCTGTGGCAAACCGTATGTATTCGTTACTCAGTAACGGGTAGTCGGTCAGATACGAAATACGAATTCGTTACTGCATTTTAAATTTCGTTACTCGCATCCGCATCGTCGCATAACGCACAATCATTGCGTTCGGTTTGCCACGTTCCTTTAACTCCTTTAACACTTTTAACTCCAAACGACTCTTTTAGCGTTCGCTTTAGTCCGATTAGTGACAGTTTAACACGCTTAAATGTCATTTAAAAGCACCCTAAAATTTGTCCCGCTCCAGCCCCTGACTGACCGAACTCGCCTAATAATAATACTTGAGAATACATACCGCCACCGGTTCGGTGTGCAAGATGCGAGATGGCCCGATGTAAAGGGTATGGTCTGTGGCCCGATGGGCGATGCGAAATGCGAGTGTGGCCTTGATAGCCCAATCGAATTAGGTGAAGAACAGGCTTGAGATTCTGAAAAATTGGAAGCAGCAATTTTCCTTCGGAATTCGTTGGAGGGGGTCTCTGGTAGTCTAAATTCAAAAAGTTGGGATTCCAAAGTTGTCGCTACCTCCGCCATCTTGATTTAAAGGGTTATTTTTTGTATCTTGAATAACTCATTTATTTTCAATTTTACAAGGAAAATAGTTTTTACAAAAGTTATTTAAAATTAAATTTCCTACAATTCTGCTTTTTTTTGTACGATCGATTTTTTCGATTTAAACCCGAAAAGAGGGGGTGAATTTTTGGTTATAGAATAACTCGTTTATTTTCAATTTTACGAGAAAAATTGTTATAAACAAAGTTGTTTAAAATTAAATTTCCTACAATTCTGCTTTTTTTTGTACGATCGATTTTTTTCGATTTATACCCGAAAAGAGGGGGTGAATTTTTGGTTATAGAATAACTCGTTTATTTTCAATTTTACGAGAAAAATTGTTATAAACAAAGTTGTTTAAAATTAAATTTCCTACAATTCTGCTTTTTTTTGTACGATCGATTTTTTCGATTTAAACCCGAAAAGAGGGGGTGAATTTTTGGTTATAGAATAACTCGTTTATTTTCAATTTTACGAGAAAAATTGTTATAAACAAAGTTGTTTAAAATTAAATTTCCTACAATTCTGCTTTTTTTTGTACGATCGATTTTTTCGATTTAAACCCGAAAAGAGGGGGTGAATTTTTGGTTATAGAATAACTCGTTTATTTTCAATTTTACGAGAAAAATTGTTATAAACAAAGTTGTTTAAAATTAAATTTCCTACAATTCTGCTTTTTTTTGTACGATCGATTTTTTCGATTTAAACCCGAAAAGAGGGGGTGAATTTTTGGTTATAGAATAACTCGTTTATTTTCAATTTTACGAGAAAAATTGTTATAAACAATGTTGTTTAAAATTAAATTTCCTACAATTCTGCTTTTTTTTGTACGATCGATTTTTTTCGATTTATACCCGAAAAGAGGGGGTGAATTTTTGGTTATAGAATAACTCGTTTATTTTCAATTTTACGAGAAAAATTGTTATAAACAAAGTTGTTTAAAATTAAATTTCCTACAATTCTGCTTTTTTTTTGTACGATCGATTTTTTTCGATTTATACCCGAAAAGAGGGGGTGAATTTTTGGTTATAGAATAACTCGTTTATTTTCAATTTTACGAGAAAAATTGTTATAAACAAAGTTGTTTAAAATTAAATTTCCTACAATTCTGTTTTTTTTCTGTACGCTCGATTTTTTGTATTTACCCCTGAGAAGAGTGGGGGTAAACTCTTATCATTGTATTATCACGTTTCTTTTTAATTCCAGGTATCAGCAAAAAAAAACAAACAGAAAAAATAACGGTACAACATCAATAATAAACGTGACAATACAATACTTAGGTTCACCCCCACTCTTCTCAGGGATAAATACAAAAAAATCGATCGTACAAAAAAAAACAGAATTGTAGGAAATTTAATTTTAAACAACTTTCTTTATAACAATTTTTCTCGTAAAATTGAAAATAAACGAGTTATTCTATAACCAAAAATTCACCCCCTCTTTTAGGGTATAAATCGAAAAAAATCGATCGTACAAAAAAAAGCAGAATTGTAGGAAATTTAATTTTAAACAACTTTGTTTATAACAATTTTTCTCGTAAAATTGAAAATAAACGAGTTATTCTATAGCCAAAAATTCACCCCCTCTTTTCGGGTATAAATCGAAAAAAATAGATCGTACAAAAAAAAGCAGAATTGTAGGAAATTTAATTTTAAACAACTTTGTTTATAACAATTTTTCTCGTAAAATTGAAAATAAACGAGTTATTCTATAACCAAAAATTCACCCCCTCTTTTCGGGTATAAATCGAAAAAAAAATCGATCGTACAAAAAAAAGCAGAATTGTAGGAAATTTAATTTTAAACAACTTTGTTTATAACAATTTTTCTCGTAAAATTGAAAATAAACGAGTTATTCTATAACCAAAAATTCACACCCTCTTTTCGGGTATAAATCGAAAAAAATCCGTACAAAAAAAAGCAGAATTGTAGGAAATTTAATTTTAAACA